CTACTTGACCATTCGCCGTTTTTGAAGATTTAAATTAATACTATTAAGAATGAATATATTATAAATGAATATATATTATATATTCTTTAAATTGGTATAAATGAATATTTATTATATATTCTTTAAATTGGTATCTCTGAATCGTGATGCTCCTCTGGGCATGCAGTGACCGCTCCGTATACTAGCCCACGCGATGGCCCTGTTTATTCGTATGATGAATTGTTTGAAAGATAGCCTGTCAGATATGAATGTAATATATTGAGATATGAATGTGAGGTTGGCGGTGCTGAACCAAATTTTTAGAATCCATGTTTCTTTGAGCACTGCCAAGCTATGAATGAAATGAATATCCAAGACAAGCAAGAGAAGGTAATAATTTGCTCAATAAACCTTGCATTTTAACGATAGCCGGATCATTTATTATTATTCTTGGCAAGCCCTAGACAAGGAAACTCATTGAAACATGTGCTTTTAATATTTTCTTAGCGTAATTTATAAATGAATTACATATAGACGACCATTTTTAAATGTTCATGAAATTCATGCATAAATAGGTGGACTGGTGATATCAGGAAGATTGCTGTCATGTTAGAAAAACGTTTGAAAGGTTGGTGATGGATTAAAAGAAGATTAATGTTATGATAATTAAGAAAAATATACCTAGTCGTCAACCAGAATGTTGTGTATTCGGAACTTACATTTCAAGAGTGACTGTTTTTCAATATTTCTTAGGTCGTACAGAGAAGTATCTAAATGAGAAGGGTGGAATTAGGGCGAGAAGCGCTTTAGTTAATGAGACTTAATTTGTCTTTTTCATATATTTGAATTAAATAAATTCTATGAAATTTTATCAATTCAATATTCTAATAATTAAGATAGCAATAATATAATCTTATGAATTATTTATTTATTTATACATGTTTTGGGCTCTTCAACCACTTGGGTCATTTTCGCCCTATATTACAGTTTGATGAATTACTACACACATAACTCAACTATAGCTAAGAAATACAATTTAAAGTTTGAAAAGTTAAGAATAATTACAGATGATTATGATAGTACAATTGAACTAAAATTATAAAAATTGAAACTTAAAGATTTAATAGAAGATGAGATAACAGAGACAATAAAGATTAATGATATTAAGAATAAAAGCTAAAAAATACATTTTTAAATAATAAAAATTAGTACTAATAGAGGCCAAGTTAAAGAATACAGTTTAAACATTAGAATGTACAAGAACCATTAAAATTAAACATTAAAGATTAGAGAATGATAAGTTAACAGTTAACAAGGACATTTAAATAAAATGTTAATGATTTCAGGAATATAATCTAAAAATACAGTTTAAAAAATAGAATTAATATTAAAAGAAGAAAAGTTAGGAAGTACAATTTAAATATTAAAAATTACGAGAAGAAAAATTGAAAAACCATTATAGTTAAAAGTTATGATTAAAAGAGAAAAAAATTAACAGGTATATTTACAAATTAAAGAGGAACTTACAAACTTAAAAAAACTTAACATTTACAATTACAAGGTGTGATTAAATTTTGTTAAATATTTTGATTTCCTTAAGGAACAATATTAAGTTTTTAATAGCATTGGGGTCCTTTTGGAGTGATTCTTCAAGTCTATTTCTGAGAAGATGTTGATCCCTAGAAGATTGGAATGCATAACATTCGGTTAGGATATGGTTCACTGTAAGAGGTACCCCGCAGGAAAGACATTGAGTGGGAGAGTCTTTCCTCATTAAGCACTCGTGAGTAAGCCTAGTGTGTCCGATCCTTAGCCGGGTCAGTACCACTTTTTCCCTTCTGGTCAGCAGGATATTTGGAGTGACTCTAAGGACGTATGGCTCCACAACCCTTAGCTTATTATCTCTAGTGGCAGACCAAGTTATTTGCCACGCCAACCATGATTTTTCTTTGATTAAAGAGACAACTTCAGAAGGTTGAGTGGTGATGATAGGTTGACCTTCTTTGATAGCTCTCTTGGCCATACAATCTGCCATCTCATTGCCTCCCTAAGACCTCAACCTCCCTTTAAAAGCCGTCTCATACTCTGAATAACCTGCAGCGTCGGGTTTGAGACCAAAGAGGTCCTGCCGTTGTGGTTCTTGTCTAGGTTTTTTCCTCGGGGGTTCATTATTGCCAAATTCCTCATGTCTAAAATAATTATAAATGTTTGTAAAATTTCTTCCGCAGAAACGGCAGGACCTCTTAAAAACTACTTTACATGCAATCTCATGCTTTAATCTAGTATCTTTTCGTGTAAACACCTGTCCACATTTTCCACAAATAACTTCACAATGGTTATCAAAATTATCAAATCGGGACAGGTGTTTACACGATTTTTCATGTCTTAAACGATGATGTTCTCTATTAAAAGATTTCCCGCAAAACGAACAAATCAATTTAATATTGTTAAAAAATTCTTGGGTTTGAGAGGAATCCCCACAAATAGCCTCGTGTCGTATTTTGTTATCTGATCTAGAAAAAGATTTGCCACATTTGGCGCAAATGCACGAGGCTAGTTGTGGAAATTCCTGACTATAAATACATGATAATTCATGAACCATGCACTCCCTATGGCTAGCAAATGTTTGATCACAGTTGGCACATTTCCTTGATGAGGATTCCATATTTCGTAAAATATATATTTAATAAAGAATAACTGTATATAATAATAAAGAAAAAAAGAATTATCTCCGACCGATAAATGAATTAAAAAAAAAAAAAATATAACTATAATAAGAAAAAAACAAAAATAACAACTCTAAACTAGTATAAATATAAAGAACACACGAAAATAACTTTAAATATATATATAATAAGAACAAAAAGAAATAACAATTACTTTGTGAACGAAAAGAAGAAAAACACTATAAATATTAAGAAAAACACACGAAAATAACTTTAAATATATATATAATAAGAACAAAAAGAAATAACAATTACTTTGAAAACGATATTAAGAAAAACACACGAAAATAACTTTAAATATATATATAATAAGAACAAAAAGAAAGAATAATAACTATAAATATTAAGAAAAACACAAAACGATAAAACTTTAAACTTTAATAAATATGTATATAATAGTAAGAGAAAAAAAAAAGAACAATATAATAAGAGAATATGAAGATGTAAAAACAAAACCCAAAAAGAAAAATGTTAACAGAATAGAAAATTTTTAATAGAGAACTAAATAAAAAGAAAAACTTACCTTAGGATAGAAAAATAAAGTATGAAGAAACAAAAATAACTTTGAAATAAAGAAAAAAAAACTGTAGATAACTATAATAAGAAACTAAACTAATAATATAAACAATACTGAAGACAAAGAGAGAGAGTTCTAACGCAGAGAACACTAAATACGATAGGAACACTGTGAAGTCTGGAGCTAGAATGAGAGTAGTGGGGGTAGGCACACGGGTACCTCCGGTTGTATCCTCGAATCTGATTGGCTGATGGTTTCCCCCACCACTCTCTTCCGACCCTACCGCTTCCTTCGCAGTGGACCTTGTCCCCCTACATGCCTATGCATGTTCAAACGTGAAGAGACTTGCCGCTTAACGCAGCTGTACTCTCCACGGCCTTCTATATAACATATGTTATGAAAATAATATTACGTAGATTAACTTTATGATTTATTTTTTTTCGATATTAGAGTCTACTATTAGGTTATTATATTTGTAAAATTCGAAAATGATATTAGTTTTAAGATTGATTAATCGAATTTCGATTTATTACAATATTCGTGATATTGGAGATGTATATTCTTAGATTATTAAATAAGTTTTGATATTTATGAAAAAATAATATATAAAAGTTGATGAGAAGAAGAGGGGGGAGGGGATGGGTGATGACGTTGTTGTTAATTTTATGATATATTATCGTAAAATTATTAGAATATATGTATATATTTCATTGTTATAATTTATATTCGTTTGCAATAATAAATATTTTCGTCGTTACAATTTATGTTTATATTCATTTTGTAATAATATATATATTTCATCGTTGTCATATATATTTTCTTCGTTACTAACTATATCTGTATATATTCCTTTGTAATAATATATGTGTATATTTCATCGTTATAATTTCTATTCGTTTGCAATAATATATATTTATGTCGTTACACTTTATATTTACTTGAGGTAGACAAGATGGGACCAGTTGAGACATGATATCGTAGAATGTCACAATATATGTCTATACTTTTGTCGTTGCACTTCATATTTACTTGAGGTAGACAAGATGGGACCAGTTGAGACAGATCCGGACCTGTCGAACTTGAAAATGAAAAATACAAATTAGGATTAAGGATTAGGGATTAAGATTAATCAAAATAAATTATATTGGTCACGTGGTGTACAGGTGGTTAAGGTAAGAATAGCCCAGGGTTCAAAGTCCAAAAGTGCCCCTCAAATTCTGGGATTAAAGTGGCCTAGAACCGCCATTTCTACCCTACTCATGTCACCAAGGAGGAGTACTAGTGTTGGAAGCTGTTCATATAGCTCGTCCAATAATTCTACAGAGGGGCTAAAAGGCGGAGGAGGAAGGTATAACGAACATATTGTGATCGGGAAAGGAGTGAATATTTTAACTGCAACTGCTTGGAGTGGAGACTGTATTGGGATATGGGTGCAGGGGATTTCATTTCTTACTAAAATGCCGACACCGCCACATGCTTTAAGGCCACTTGTGTAATCTTTGCGAAATATATCAAATTTTCGAAATACAGCAGGATGTTCTGGGAGTAAATGCGTTTCTTGTAAACTTATAATTACTGGGTTATTAATAATGATTATTAATAATAATAATGATTCTAAGTCATTTTTATGATATCTGAATCCTCTAATATTCCATTGTAATATTTCCATGTTAATATTAATATTTTAAAAGATAGGAATCCATAAAAAAGTTTTACTGTTTTATAAAGTATTGATTTTGATTTTTAATATTGTATTTTAATTTTCGTTCGTGGTATTTTTATTTGAGTTGTTTCAGAGCTTTTGTTCTCTTTCGTTGTTGTTGAGGAGCTGGAGATTCAGAATTGAGTTTGAGAGGATTTGGAATGGATTTTGTGTTGGGGAAAGGATCTAAGTTTTTATTCGTTCCGGATATACTATTGTACAGATCTTCTCCAGAGTTACCAGATTCAGTGTGTTTTGGTTTGTCCGTCTGTTTTGGGGTTAAGTGGATTTCATTGTGTTGTGGTTGATATGTATTGTCAGTTTTATTTTCTTCAGAATTTTGTGTGATTAGATTTGTAGGAGAAAGATGATTTGTGTTATCAGGATTTTCAGAGACAGTCACATTGAGGATGGAGGGAATCATGCATAATTTAGTTTCTAGCTCATTGATTTTAATTACCAGAGAATCTATAATTGTTGTTAACCTGTCTATTTGTGCGTTTTGGGAAGAATTCGGAGAATTTAATACTTGGGAATAGGTGTCCCTAGAGTCCAAGACTGTATGAGTTATCGCTTCGACCTTCTTTTTCGCTATTATGTACGGAACCCGTTCTGTAACTTTTACCGTTTGAATCTGATTTTCTTTTAAGAAATATGGACAGGAGCGTGACCACGCTGGATGTGGCCCTAAGCAGTTGATACATTTAATATCACTGCTGCAGTTATTTTCGTGTTTGGGGTTACTACATCTACCACAAATATTTTTTTGACAGTTCGTGGAAGTGTGGTTAAAAGCAAAACATTTAAAACATTGGAGAGGGCTAGGAATGTATGGCCTTACTTTTATATTTAGAAAGTCTAGCTTAATATTACCTGGAAGTTCTGGCCTTTCAAAAGTCAGGATCAATGTTGGCGTAGGAACTTTCTGCTCGCCTGCCTTCCGGTATATTCTTCTGACTTCGATGACTCCTTCTCCCCGTAGTTCGTCCTTCAGTTCCTGTTCCGAGCAGCCGTTTAGTTCTGGAGAGTAAATCACACCTTTTGTGTAGTTTAAATATCTATGCAGCGAGAATTTCACTGTATTATTTTCGTAATTCTTGATATTACCCAGGTTAATGAAATCTTTTTCTGAGTTTACTCCTAGAAGTACTTTTCCATTTTTGGTGAATTTAATATTTACTTGCGGTGCGTAGCTTTTTAAAAATCTACTCACCTTGAAGGGACTACACTCCTTGAATGATTTATTGTCCTCTAAAAAAGACATTTCAAGATATTTTTTCGTCCATCGTTTGCTTTTTGAATTATAGTTTTTAAAGATGTCAGGAGGTTCAGGTTCGTACGTATTCGTCATTTCGCTTCTCACTATTTTCTTAACTGGTAGCTTGGTTAATTAGGTTATTATAATTTCCAGTATTATCTCAGAGTCTGTAACTATAACGCACTATAACTATGACAATAACTAAACAAAATAAAAGTTAAGTCGCCACTTTCCGGTCGAACGAAAGTAAATAAACTTATTTTCTCGGAAACCAAACAACAGCGGGCCTATTGTACTGAGATCAAAGCCGCAAACCGCGATGTGCACCCTTCGAAGGCTGGAAGGGAACTCCTAATCTTATGAATTAATAATTCCTTATAATAATACCTTCACTGGTACTGTTTTTCGACGTTGCTACCCATTTGTTGAGTCTGAAATATTTATAGCCTGCTCTGTCATAGACCACCAGCTATCTCCAGGTTGTGCTGCTGCCTTCCATCTTCTTATCTCAAGTAGGGATCTTATATCAGCAGCCAAACAGTCTTCCCACAGGAGCTTTGGACCTCCAATCCACCCGGTACCAAGGATTTGTTCCAATAGGATCCTAAAAGGTATTTCGTTCGGATCCACTCTTGGAACGAGGCCAGCCGAGCGAAGTCATGATGTTTTTATGAACGTGGATACATCCACTTCCTTATACTTTTTATTTAGTTCTGTAATGGGGCTTCTTCTCTATACCACCTTGCTCGCATATACCACCTCAATATTCGATGATAAACTTTCCTTTTAAACCTGAGGAGGACTTGCCATTGGGTTTGAGACGCACTCCAACATTCTGGACCGTATGTAAGCACTGGCCGAACGGTTGTTTTATATATTCCTTTCCTTTCCTTTCCTTCGACCACTTCGACAAAGAACCGCTTATTAAATGTTTTTGGAGAGAGTAGGTTCGATTTGCTGAGATAATTCGTCTTTGAATGCCTTCCTGTACGCTTTTCTGTTGATTGACCTATGATCTCAAGAACATCAAGCATTGTACTCTTTCAAACCTATACTTCTCTATTGAGATGTACTAAAGTCACCTTCGCGGGTAGTTAGGAATCACATATATCATAGTAAGACCCAGGTTTGCTGCAGACTCTAGAAATGTATGTCTTTTTTTTTTTTACCATAATGCTTTCGTAAAAAAAATATGTTTGGTATTAGGAGTTTTAAACTTTATACTTTTGTGTCATCAAAAATATTAAAGCTTTAATTTGGAAAAATCTAAAAAAGTCAAACTTTAAGAAGTCTTAAAAGCACAGAATACATTTGATAGGAATGGTATTTATTTTGATTTACTTACTATTGGACACCTACACACTACTTAAGAGGTAAGCAAGATTTCTCTCCGTTTAATACCGCCTTAAAATCCAAATGAATATCTCAACAATTTATATTATAAAACTCAAAGGATCATATCAAGGTAAGAATGAAAATACAGAAATAGGGACTCTTTTTCTTCAAATTAGAATCTCTTCCGACATTTATATACAGGTTCTAATCTTTCTTAAACTTTTTAAATAGGGTTCGTTATCTGTTCGTTAGAATAAAAATATAAGTTTTTAAATAATTGAAGAAATATATTATGCCAGCTACTTTTATTATTATTTATTTTTCAAATACAGCTCTAAGTGAAGTTTAACAAGTAAACGAAACATTTCGATTCATTTGGAGAGTTTAGCGAGACCAGTTAAGTGCTTAATTTTGTTAATTATCCCTTAATGTTGTTAATTAATTAACAAGACTCAAAGAGGATAATTTATTTGATAAAGAGTTTGAATCCAATCGAATTATTTATTTAGCGAAGTTTCAAACGGAATAATGTTTGTTCAGACTTGAACGTCCACTAATCAATTTGAAAGGTTCTAAACGAAACCAGCCATTTGATAATGTCCTCATATCAGCTGGATAGTGAACAGATAATTAGAAATTCATTACCAGGTGAAGCAATTATTTTATATGTAATAAAATTATTTTCTTATGAAGCTATTCATTTGACTTGTTATGCAGAAGAGAATGCTCCATCTTAAGGCAAATGGTCGTAAGAGTAAAACCCTTAATTTTCGGTACCTCCCCAAATTTCCGCACTCACCGCAGTTATTGAAGAATATTAAGCGTGAGAATGGTCTAGAATTGGCGAAAGACACTGGTATGGACAGAAAATCTCTCTTGCACCCACATACTCTTGCATTTTCCACTATTTATTTAAATGTATCGCTAGAGAAAAAATCGCTGAAGATTAGAAACCCGACAGGTGTAGAGCAGGAAGGATGTGTCTTACGTTTTAATTGTTTAATTAAGATTTAATTGTTTAATTTTTTGAAGACTAGGTAAAGGGTGCCGAACACTGGTACTACAGGGTGCTTAAAACTAAAAAAAAAAAATGGTACCAAAACTGGCGCATACGCATATTTTTGCATTTTTCCGTTTTACTATAAAAAAAAAATAAAATAAAGACTTAATTTCACACACACACACACACACACACACACACACATATATGTGTGTGTGTGTGTGTGTGTGTGTGTTCGATATATATCGTGTATATATATATATATATATATATATATATATATATATATATATATATATATATATATATATATATATATGTGTGTGTGTGTGTGTGTGTGTGTGTGTGAAATTAAGTCTTTATTTTATTTTTTTTTTTAGTAATTTTTTTTTTTATATATATATTATGAAATTAGAGATCTTTGCTTACTTAACCTAACCAAATTTTGTTGAACCAAGTACTAACGCGACTGAAAACGGAACAAAAACGTTTTAATCTTTCCTTAATGGTGCCAAAAACTGTGTAAAAATATCTTTATCCTAGTTATTTTTCAGGTAAATAAGGTGTTTCGTCAATTGATTGAAAACAGTTCTTAAGGACATTCATAATTAAGCATTGTCGTCTAGTATTTTTTTAATTTATTGTTTCGAAAGCATAAAAAATGAGTTTTATTTTATTTATCTTACTTTTTATTTATCAAAAATAGTATTTCTAAGTAAGTGCAGAATGTTCTGCCTTTACGGAGATAACATATATCAAAGTGCTTAGTGATTTAATTTTATAGAATGTTAGGTTATAATTAGAAAAATTTTAAATATACAACCTTACGTCTCAAAAATGCACGCACAGAAAATAACCCGTCAACGTTTCGCAAATTCAGACATTATCAGAATTGAAGAAAACAGTAAATCGAACATCACCCAGTATGCGATAGGGTGTCATGGATTGATGTTCGATTTTCTGTACTCTTCTGTCCTGATGATACCTGAATTAGCGAAACTTTGTCTGATTTTTTTTGCCTGCATTTTGGAGAGGTAAGACTGTTTGGTTGAATTTTTTTCAATCCAAATTTAACTCTTTCCAAATCAAATGTTTTACTTTTTCAAGTGTGAAACAATTTGTAGAAGGTTGAATTTAGAAATTTTTAAATTGAAATTCAAAAGTGTTCCATTTGAAATGGAAAAGGTTCATTTATTTGATTTGGAAAGGGTTACATCTGAAGTGGAAAAAGTTACATTTGAAATGAAAAAGGTTATAATTGGCTTTGAAATGATATATCATCTGTTTGTCACAAAAAGTCATTAAATAACATTATATAACTAAATCACGATATATTTTCCCTCTGTGAGATCTGAACATGTACTCTGCAATTATATTTATACCTAATTTTATTTGATCACTTAGGTGTACTTACTTTGCTAAATGATGTTGAAATTTACAAAAACTATGTAAAAAAGTATTGCTTCATCAAAAATGAACATATTATTTCTTTTGCAGAAATCCCATGTTATTTTAAGTATTTATACATTATAACGGTTTTTTACTATAGTAATTTTAATATATAACTGATTTTAATTTAAAATAGCAAAAGATAAATTCCAACTTTTAGACTATAATAAAATCATAATTACATATAATAGTTCTAAAGATAAATTATAAACATACTAGAAGTATTATTTAACATACTGCTTTATTCTGCTTTAAATATATATATTTCCTTTTTAGCAATTGCCTGCTCTCTGCATATTCCTCTAGGTGAGACGTGTAGATGTCTAATGTTTCCAATTAAATAGCTGTGTTCTCAGTCAGCATACATATGGCCTTATGCCAATAGTAGACTTGAATGCTCTTATATTCCAACTCCAAAATGACTAAAACTTGGGT